GGTCTGTCCTGAAGGGACTTGATTACTTGCCTTAATGGCTCCCTGGTGAACACAACTTGCTTGTTCTTGTAGTAACCAATCCTTTTATTATCACAATAAACAGATACTACATATTTACCCCCAATATGATCATAAGAGGAGACTGAGGAACAGAGAGGTTGAGTAATTTGCTCAGAGTCATACAAGCAGAAAAGGCATTACAAGCAGAAAAGCAGGACTTGAATTCAAGCAAGCTGGCTCTACTTAACTCCAAATTACCTGTCTCATTTCTCTTGGACATACAGATTGATCGGTGAGCTCACTAATTTGTAGTCAGTGGAGATCTAATCCAATTATTTATGAAACCAGCAAGAGCAATTTTTCATTGCATTTTTACTACTCCTGTTGTTAAATAACTTATTGCAACTTGGTCCATATGAAAGTAAATTGGGAAGGGAAATAATGTTAAGGTGCATAACTGTATTGTGGATATTGGTTTGCCCTACTATTGTAATATAGACATTTAAGTGGGATAGAAATGAATGTTGGGAAGTATGATTACAGAAAGTTTGTAAACCTGTCTTCAGCCTATAACTGATTGGATTATCTAAAAGGGTACTAGACTGTGCCCAGGGAAATAGGCTTCTTGTTAAGTCTTTGTGGAGTATGGATCTTAGGTAGAATCCTGAGCCCCACCCAGAATCTTCGGAGGTGGGACAACATTCCCATTTGAAAAGACACACAGTCTAACCTGGAATGGTTAGAGGAATAGAAGAGACTTCTTGAAAGACAGACCACCTGGAGCACGCGTGAGGGGGAGGGGAGGGAGGCAGAAGAAGAAGACTATTTGGTTGTGACAATACCAAGCAAGCTGTTTGCCTTGGAGCCTCAAGGCAGGAAAAGTCAGCCCATCAGGGTAAACACTTTTCTAATACTGAAATTTAAAGAGAACATACAGACAGTCTTGTATGCTCACTGGTGACTACTCTTGTCAAGTTGTGAGTGGAAATACAGCAATGAAGTTTGGCCATGATCCGTTGATACCCGATGACCTTGAGATAAGAGAGAGAAGAGGAAGGGCTGGCTGGTTTGAAGTTCAGGGAAACGTGTGAACTCCCCAGCCCAAGGAAACTGACCCAGCCACTGGGGGCTAGACTAAAGAGTGAAGCAGCCAGCTGGTCTGAAGTGGGAGGAGACGTGCAAGAATTTCCAGACTTGCAGATAGTACACACTTGGCCCAGCTTGGATGACTTGCTAGCTAGAACTCGATCAGATGAAAATGAAGAAGTTTGATATAGGGAGGACCTTTGCTTATGGATGAAGTTGCCCAAAATTCCAACCAAAAGGGAAGGGTCCTTCATATCAAGCATCAAGCCTGCCTCTTCAGTACACTGGATTGGTAGGGGCGGGCAACTTAGACTTTGGCTATCAAAATTGGGGGCTATAAGGGCATGAAGTGGCTTATAAGTTTTCAAGAGGGTGCTTACTGTCAGGATGAGGGGGTAAGATAGAATCTCCACTGAGTAGTTTTCCTCTTGTCCAGATGGATCTGGTGATGATCAGGATAGGATTTTATGATCCAATTGTAATTACTGTCAGAATTAATTATGATTGTCACAACTGTAATTGTAGAAGAGGTTTAACTAAAAAGGGGGAGAAGTTAATCTGTCATTTCAGGAACAAAGGACCCTAGGACCATCAAGAGGGAACAGCATGAGAGGAATGAGGGATCCTAATCAGAAAAGCTGAGAAAACAGAGATGGTGGCAAAGGCAATGGCAAAGAGAGATAGAGCAACAGAGGACTATAGGCCCATGGCCTGAGAAAGGCAGTGTGCCTACGGGCAGAAGGCTAGCTTGCAAAATGTGCCCTTTGGACATTTAAACAAATATGTATTTTTTCATTGTAGTGTGTATACATCAAAAGAATAAATAAATAAAGGTAATAGAGGTAAATACTGTTCGCTGATGGTGCATGGAGGGGATTGTAATCATTGCAATTGTAAAACTGATGATCTCACCTGTAAACCTTCACTCAATTCACAATAAAAGCTTAAAAAAAAATAAATTGGCAATGTCTTCTTTTCTTGCAATATGGCGGTTGTTCTTTGGGTTTTGGCAACCCTGCAACAACTCATCTTTCTCTTTATTCCAAATCCCCTCTCTTCTTCATCTGTGCCTTCATGTCTGTCACCTAAAATCACCAGACCTGCACCTGGCTCAAATGAGAAGACCCAAAGGCAAGCATAGACCCTAGCATTGGTTTTAGGCTGGCCATCAAGATGATCCAGAATACATGTTCTCATTATTTATTTTACACTGTCATTGAAATAAAAATCACTCATTTTAGAGAATTCATAGATGTCTCAAAATACATACATCCAAGGACCCCAGGGGTCTAAAACAGGCTGCCTACTCTGATTGCTGCGTAATGTGGTATGAGCTCACACCGAGACACGATGAAAAACAATCTTATGAAACTCATACTTATGTCTAACCAATTTTTAAAGACATTCAAAACACTGTGCTTGGTAGAATGTGGGACCCTATCCAGAGAAGCAGCGACACCAGAGATGGAGGCAGAGATGAGGACATGGAGCAAGGGAGCAGCTGAGGACTCTGGACTCATAGAAAGAGAGGGATTCTGTGTGCTGGCGGCCAGGAGGCAGGCTTGCATAATGCGCCCTTTGGTTGTTTAAATTATTATATATTCCTGAGTGTTTTTGTGTACATTCCCCTCACCCAACCCCCCAAAAAAAGAAAAAAACAGAGGGAATAGAAGCAAATACTGTTGAATAATGTTACACGGAGGAGACTGTAATCATTTCAATGAAACGGTGTAAAGCCAATGTTTTCCAATGTAAACTATCACTCAGTTCACAATAAAAAAATTTTTTTAATCCCTATGCTTGGAAAAAGTTTTTTCCTTCTTAGAATCAAGAAGAGTTGTGCTTCTTACAGAGTTTGCACTTGGTGTTTTTTTACGTTCTGGCTATTTGGTCTTTTATGTTCTTCCTGCACAGCACTTACCACAATTTGGAATTGCATATTCATATGAGAGATTTCTTGATAAATGTTTGTTTCTGAAATTCATCTGTGAGTTCCATCAGGATAAGACCATGTCTGTCTGTTTCACCCTTTTTGTTCCAGTGCCTCTCACAGAACCTGGAACATCGTTGTTATTGCTGTTGTTACGTGATGTTGAGTCAGTTGCGACTCATAGCAACCCTGTATAGAGCTGCTGAAGAACAGCTGGTGAGCTTGAACTGCCTACCTTGCAGTTCAAACCAATCTTTCGGTTCAAACCAACCTTGTAGTCCAGCGCATTAACCTACAGCACCACACCAGGACATAGGACCTCACTAATTGAACAAATGAGTCACCAAATAAATAAAACCATGACTCATGGACTGGTGGCTTTCCCTTTTTGCAGGAGCTGATAGAAACTTCAGAGCTGAATTTGTTTCCCACTCATAGCAAGTATAGAGGAGTTTGTGCTTGTATTTGTGTATTAGCTTCTTTCTTAATACCATTTTATGTCTCTGCCTATAATTTCCTTTTTCTTTCCCATCTTCTAAATTAGTCAGCCTTGCTATGTTTTATGAACCCCTGTAATCCCAGCTCCCTCCCCTCCAGAAGGGGGTTATATGCGTCTGAAATTCCATTAAAATAAACAAAACCAAGGCAAGCTCACAATATCCCTTCCCAAGAAGGTCTTGTTGTTGTTGTTAAGTACCATCAAGTCCTACTCAAAGTGACCCTGGATAAGGTTTCTGAGGCTGTAAATCTTTATGGGAGCAGAAAGCCTCATTTTTCTCCTGCAGAAGAGCTGGTGGTTTCGAACTGCTGACCTTGCAGCTCGCAGGCCCATTCGTAACCACTATGATACCAGAGCTCCTGATTTATAGTTAGTAGGTTTCAAAATATCATAAAAATAATAATAAAACTCTTTACTTCGACTTGTGTCCAATTTTGAGGGAGAGATTGAGAGGATCTGGGCAAGATTCTGATCACTTTACAGAACTAAGGTATAACATTATAAAGTACAAATATTATCGTCTAAACGCCTTTTATAAATCTCTAATATTATACTACCCATTTGCTAGTGGAAGGACTTACAAGTCTGAAATTTTACAACAATTCTCTCTGATCTTGTTCATTTAAAGCACTCCAAATGTTGACTGCTTCCTTTAAGAGAACACATAATTTCCAAATCCCACTAATTAGAACATCCTTCACTGTACACGTTAATTATTTCATGCATCCTAAGTGGACTCACAAACTGGAGAGTCCACCCTCTCCAGGCCATTAGTCCCTAAAAGGATGTCAGATCAACCCTTCCTTTGGGATTAGGCAGAAGACAGTACGTCCATCTGTGAATCTGAGATGTTTTTTCTTTTATTTATAGAGCTCATTTAAGTTTGTGAATGTGAGACAGGGCAAGCTGCAAGAGGAGGGAGTGGGTGTAAAGAAACAGATGGGTAATAATCATGTGTCAGAGATAAATGACAATTTTTAAAGAATTTGATAGGGTGTGGGCTGGGGTTTTTTTGGGGGGGGGCAGGGGGTGGAGAAAAGGCAAGACAATAGGCCCCACTGAGAGCCAGATTCACATCCAAAAACAGTTTCCCCCTGCCACCCCTTGCCCCAACACCAGATAGATAGTGGTCCGGATTCAAAACAAGCCGAGGCTGGCCCCTCGCCTCTCTCACTGAGAGCTACCCACTAGGATTGCAGACTGGGAGAAAAAGGAGAGGGAAGATGGAAGCTGAGATAACAGACTGTCAAGACCTCCTCGGGGACAGTGGCCTTTTTTTCCCTCCAAAATGGTTGAGTCGCAAAAAAAAATCCAAACCCACCTGGCTCCAGTCACGTGCCAGGTCCCCTTATCAAGAGCCGCAGGCTGCCCGCGGTTCCCGCACCTGCTCGGCTGCAGCAGTGATGGAGATGGACAACGCGCTGTGGGCGACCGCCAGACCTGGAGGGGACACGCCCTGCCGGACCTGGCCGTCTGGAAAGGCCCCTTTCCCACTCCACCTCCAGAGGGCGGCGGCCGGATTCAAACGGAGGAAACGGCCCCCAAAAGCGAAGCTTTCAATCCCTCAAAGAAGAACCGAGATGAAAGCCCCACCTTCCAGACACCATTCTCAAGGCGAACCGGTCTACTGGCCCACGCAGAGGCCAGCGCTTGGCAACCCCTATTTCCAAAGACCCTTCAATGTTACATCACTCACAGAAACCACCTTCAGGCTTAGCATAAATCACCGCCGGGAAGCGCTGCAACGCAGACTCACATAAAAACAGATGCTCACCTATCTGCATGAGCCTGCCTCCTCCCTGCTCAAGCAGGAGGTGGTACGATTCTGAAATGCAATTAAAATAAACAAAACCAAGGTAAGCCCACGGTGTCCGTTCCCAAGACAGTCTTACCTCCTGTTAGACAGTTTGTCCATCTCTAGTCTTCCACTGGGGGTTTGGGGTTTTGTTTGCTTGTTTGTTTTTTTTATCCGTTTAATAAATCCACCCAGCTAATCTGCAGAGAAATGTTTTCTATCCATCCTGCAATCCCGCACTTGTCACAGCGGCAGAAAGCATTGTTCTACTACGTCTGCCTGAAATTCCACCGGCAATGCAGTCTCTTCGCGTTAGTGGTAATTACAGACAACAGAGATTGCCGTTCCTTGACAAAGGTTTCCGCTCCAGCTCCGCCCTTACAGCCCTGCCACCCGAATTAAATCCATTTCCCGCACAAGGCTGGAAGGAAATGAGCGCTCTCTTCGCCGCGTGCACTGACAAAAGGACGCTTCTCTGTGCCCACAGAGCCCCCTCTAGTGGGACGCCCGGAGGAATGAGGTGCTGCAGTGTCTGCCGCCCGCAGTGCCTGCCACCCCGTGCTGCCGCAGTCCCTGCCCTGGTGGGCTGAGCTCGGGCGTGTCCCTTGCCGTCACGCCCAGGCTTTCTGCCCGCGTTCACCCTACTCGGGCACAGCAAACTGTCCATAACAGCCGAGAGCTAATCTGATTATTTTGTTACTAGGAAGAAAATCTGAAATATGAGCTCCCTTCGGGGATTTACCTTCCCAGGGATTAAAGAAGAAGAATGAAAAAAAAAAAGCCTTACAGTTGGAATCTCTTTGGTCTAGAAAGTACATCTTGACATTAGAAGATAGCTCTGTTAGTGATTTTAATAGCAATTGTTTGTTTAAAATTTCTATCCTAAATCTGACTCAGTTTTCAACTAGAACAAACTATACATGTTAACATGCTGCCGCCTTCAGTTCTCACTTCTTCCCCCCACCACTTCTCCCTTCCTCATCCCCAATTTACCACTCCAAAAGGAACAACTGTGTATTCAGTGGGGAACTAGACAGGAAACCGGGACACTTGGTTGCAATTCCAGATATGCCATTAAGTAGCTCTGGTAGCGTAGTGGTTACGAATCGGGCTGCGAACCTTAAGGTCAACGGTTCGAAACTACCAGCTGCTCCGCGGGATACAGATCAGGCTTTCTACTCCTGTATCGGAAACCCTGTACAGGGTCGCTATGGGTCGGGACCGACTCAACGGCACTTAACAACAACAACAGCTGTGTGACCTTGATACAGCTGCATGACCTCTCTGTCCTCACCAACTTCATCTGTAAAATGACAGTATACTTAAAACATTTTCCATTTCTGATACTTTCTGAGGGCATCAGAACACAGGGCCCCCAGAGAATACGGATGTGAAAGGTTAGCTTGAGATTTTAGATGGAAAATCTCTACCATAGCTGCATGTGTAATACAAATAGTTAAAGTCTCAGTTATTAACTAAAAGATAGGCCATTCAAGTCAGAAGAAACGCCTGGTAACCTACTTCCCTCCAAAATCAGCCATTGAAAACGCTGTAGAGCACAGTTCAACTCTGACCCACGTGGGAGCAAGCGTCATGAGTCAGAATTCATTGCATTGCAGCTAGCTAATCTTCACCAGCTCCCCAAATCCCCCAAAATCAACGTTCAGTCTAAATGCTTTTTAAACCAGATCATAATCCCTCTGTTCCTTCTAGGTTCTGAATCACCACAGCCCTCAGACCTTTCCCATAAAAATCACTGGGCCCCATCACCGTGCTGCTGGAGAAATTAGAATCTCTGGAGGCAGGCCCAGGAATCAATGTTTTTGACAAGTGAATCCTTTTAAAAAGGCCACACACTATGCTAGTTACTACTGGTTTAGAAAAAGCCAGAAAGCCCACCACAACAATCTTAGAATCAGGCACTTCATCTCAAATTCCAGGGTAAAGTTTCTTTCTGCTCTAGATCCTCCCACCCCCCTTGCACCCTCCTATCCCACTCAGCATTCTTACTCATTCCCATTCCTTTTTTTCAGAATAACTGAGTTTACAAGACCTCTCCCCATTCTGCTGTCAAACAGTCACACAAGGGGACATCCATTCCTCCTCCCAGTCCCCAGGCCCTGCCATCTGTCTGGCTAAGCCACGATATGATAGCTTTATTGAGACACTTCAGATATTTGTGCCACTATAGGTGCCAGGGAGCAATGCTATCTGGGAAGTTGAGAAAAATTTTTTTCTAGAATGCCGAAATCACAGGTCAGGTGGACCCTCCTCCAAAAGTGAAACCAAAAAACAAAATAGAGAAGTTTTGCTAGTTCAGAAATACCAGGTTTCATGTATCCCCTTGGTCATTTCCAATGACTCAAAATTTTCTCTTCCTGGTTATTTTTCCCAAATTAATAATAGCAAGCTCTTGTTGTCTCCTAGGACTGTTCTGAGGACTAGATGTGTATTTTCACTCACTTGATCCTTACAAGAATTCTGTGAAGCTGATACCATTATTATCCCCATTTTGTTGGTGGTGGCTGTGTGCCATGGAGTCGGTTCCGACTCATAGCGACCCTGTACAGGGTTTCTGAGGCTGTAAATCTTTACGAGAGCAGAAAGCCTCATCTTACTCCCATGGAACAGCTGGTAGTTTTGAAATGCTGACCTTGTGGTTCACAGCCCGATTCATAACCCCTATGCTACCAGAGCTTCCAGATCCCCATTTTAGAGATGAAGAAATTGAGACAGGGAGGTTCAGTAACTTGCCCAAAGTCACACAATTAATGGGTGTCACAACCAGAATTCAAATTGACAGAGTTTGGTTTCAGGACTCATGGGCCCTAACTATTGCACTTCATAGCCTTTCAAGGGAGAGAAAATCAACTTTAAAAACAGAGCTGCAAGACACTCATTTGGTTTCATTATATAGTCTTCTGCCCCCACCCCAAAAAGTGACTCTGATTCTCTAGCCAGATATAAGTGCTGATAAGAAAAGTACCATCCTGTCACTTTTGGAATTGTTCCAACATCATTTAAAAAACAAGATTTCTTTATATGAACTTCCACATCCACAGATATCAAAATTTAGTTGATATTCCTGAGGTTCTCTTTCTTAATTCCAATTTACTTTGAAATTCAACAAAAGGAGCCAGAACTGTCATTGGTTTCACAGGTAATCACTCAAAACCACAAGAATTCAGAGTTCCCGCTGCAGAAAACCCCAGATGCTTGGCCCTAAAATAGGAACAGAAAAGCACAGGAGACTCTGGAAAATCACATTTGGCTAGCCACTGATAGCCAAACTTGTTTGTTTTTAAGTGTCATAGCGTGAAGTCCGACTCATAGCAACCCTGTATAGGGTTTCTGAGGAGCAGCTGGTGGGTTTGAACTGCTGACCTTGTGATTCAAAGTCCAGTGCTGATCCTACAGCACCATACCAGGAGTCCGATACAGCAAAACCATGACTTAAAAGAAGAGGCATTCAGACTAAACTATGTTGGAAATGCAATGCTCTTTAAAAAGAGTACATAGTACAATGATATCTATTCTTTATACTATAGAAAAATCATTTGAAACAGTATCACATTTTATTTTTAGTCTTGTTTAACCTTTATTTCTTACAAACAGAAAGCTTAAAATCAGATTTTCTAACTGATTTTCAATAAAATTATTTCTAATATTCAAGTCTTCTGACAGAAATATTTTTAGCCAGCAATGACTTGCAAAAAGCGCAGTGAGCAGTTAGCAGACATGGGCAGGTCCCCATCGCCTCATATTCATGCCCTTGTGCAATCCCCTCCCCTTAGGTGCTAAAGGACCTGTGACTTGCTTCTTAGAAATTAAGATTACATAAATGTCTTTATCTGTCCAGAAAACTTACTCTATTACCTTCTTGCCTTGCACACTTTGACTAAGTGGTCATGTTGGTAAGGCCTATGTGGCAAGAAACAGAAGATGCCCTGAAGTCAACTGCCAGCTAGAAATGGACAGAAGTCCTCAGCCCAAAAGTCCTAGAGGAAATTAATTCTGTCAACAACCTCATAATCTTGGAAGCAGCATCTTTCCCATCAAGTCTCAATGAGACCTCAATCCCCACCTTGTAAGAGACCTTGAAGCAGAGGGCTCGATTAAGGCATGCCTAGATTCAACTTATAACCCACAGTAACTGTGAGATAATAAATGCATTTTTTTTTAAGTTGCTATGATTGTGGCATTTGTTACACACCAGTTGTTGTTGTTAGTGCCATCAAGTTGGCTCCAACTCAGATCGATCCTAACACAACAGAATGAAACTCGGCCCAGTCGTGTGCCATCCTCACAATCACTACACTTGAGCCCATTTCAGCTGCCACTGTGCCAATCCAGCTCACTGGGGGGCTTCCTCTTTTTCACTAATGCTTTACTTTACCTAACATGATGTCCTTCTACAGAGATTGGTTCCTCCTGGTAATATGTCTGAAGTATGAAAGACTAAGTCTTGCCATCCTGATATATTTGCTCTTAAACACTTGATAAAGGTCTTGTTCAGATTTGTCCAATGTAAATCATTCAATTTCTCACTGCTGCTTCCATGAGTGTTGATTGTAACTCTAAAAAAAATTAAGTCTTTGACAACTTTAATCTTTTCTTCATTTATCGTGATGTTATTCACACCAACAGATAACTAATACTATACTGCCTTAGCACTTTCCAGTCCCAGGCATACTTATCAATGGGCTTCTCCCAGGACAAGCTGGAAGTGCTGGAAGAATTGACATCCCTGGTGGTTAGCCTTCAACCATTCAGTGTTGGTGGTAAACACCCTAGCTCCTTCATCCCTGAGTGTTGGGAAAACAATGCTGAGATATGGCCTACATTACACCCCAGAATGCCTCAGTAGGATTGAGCTCCAGTTGCCCACAGCAATAACTTGCTTGTTCAATTATATATCTTTAGTGAAATTGCTTTTATGCCTTA